AATATCTGATAAGCAAAAGTTAAATATTTAAAATTAATATAGTAATTTTTTTCATAATTCAAAAATATATATTAATAAATTAATTGCTTAATGTATTAATGTGTATTTAGATCAAATTAATAATTAATATAAATTGTTGTAATAAACATATATTTTAATATTTGAATATAATTAAATTAGTATTACATGTGATATATATTAGAAAATATTTTAGGAAAAGAATTAATAGCCTATATATTTTAAAGATATCGAGATTAAACTAAAAAATAGGTTATTTTTTATTCTGATTTGGCATTACCAATAAGCTTTTATTTCAGAAGAATCTTAAAGATAGTACAGTATTATCATGGAGAAAATCATGATAAATGGTTTTTCTTGATAGCAAACCTGAACAATAAAATAGCAAAACTGACTAATAAAAGTTTAACAACAATAAATACAAATAAAAATATTATTGTACAAAAGACACCTTGCAACAATATTGTCTACATATAAATTTCTTTACAGTTTCATTGATAAGTTTTTATATTTAGTTATTATGGAGAATGAAAATTATATAAAATTTGCACCAGGATGAATATCACAACCATTCAATATTAGCTTTTTCATTAATTGGATATTGGCTTTTGTTAAAATTATAACATTTTTTAATAAGAAGCAATTAATAACATATTAATTTTTTATTATTTTAATTATAAAAAGTGCTCATGTATTTTTATTTTCTATTTATTTTTGAAAATAATAAAGTAAATTATATGTTCAGCTATTAATTATGGTTTTCCTATTTTATTGGTTTTGAAAGATTACATATTTCATCTCTTNTTTTATATTAATTTGTATAATAATATATGTTAAATAACACATAAACATATGCACATAGAAATGTAAAGTTCATTTTTTGTGATAAAGGTCATGACTTTTCTGAAATTCTTGTTCTTTTGCAATAAAGTTGTGAAGTTTCATTTGTTGCTTTTTTCTTTCTTTAAGCAAATGTTGCTAGCAGAAAATCGCATCCAGAATGCCTTGTTTTGCTTTTGCACTCCTTTCAAAATCTGGATCATTCGCTACAATTTGATCAACGATTTCGGTTATCTTACCAAACTTTTACTAAGGAAATCTGTAGAGAAATTTTTGGGTTCTTCGTTCTCAGAATCTCTCTTTTCCAGTTCCACGTGAATTCCATGTTCTGCCAGTTCTTGAGGGTCATCATTGGTAAGGCTCTCACCAGAAACCAGCTGTAACTCCTCAATATCCTGCTCATCTACATCTAGTCCTGCTGTATCGATTAGGTTGAGTTTGGTCAACTTAACTATACAGTGATAGGCTCTTCTCACTGAGAATTCTTTGATACCTTCAGCCATAACTTCTTCCACACTTCATTCATGCATTTATCAGTTAATTCTTGCCAAGCAAAGTCGATATTTCCCATGGCATCCATGATGATTATATTTTTTTCCAAAATTGCACCAAATAAACATAGATTTAAAGAAAGTACACCTTTTTCTACCTTTTGCTGATTGGTTTGTGTTCACAAATAATCATATTATGTATGAATCAATGAAATGCTGCAATAATTTAAATCAGTGTAAATTTTGAACTTTTTTTTTAGGCTTCGAGCAGACCACGTTACATTGAATCAGCATTAAGAGGTGTCTTACTGTATATTAATTGTATTGCATTAAAATCAGTAATTCTAAATAATTTTCCAAAATTAACATTAATAGTCTTTTTTACAGTTAAAATTATTTTTTTTTATGTTATTTTATTTATTTATTTACTTTTAGTATAATTATTAATACTATAATTATTATTGTCTCTGTCAGAAAGCTTTTTAAAAAGCAGAATCTTCAGCATCTTTATTTTAATATACATCTAGACCAGAAATGGCAAACCTATGGCACATCAGGAGAAATCATTTGGCACACAACATTTCATACTATTTTGGTTTTCACCCAACTTTTTCAATTATCCTATTGGTTTATCATCTAATCATCCTTTTTCCATCATCTTTACATTTATTCTAATTAAAACAATTTCACTCCATTTCTTTAAATATTGTTATTTGAAGTCTAAAACTTCAGCAGGCATAAGTGTTTTTAAAGATATTTATGCTCATGGTGTGGCACATGGGCTCAAAAAAGGTTTGCCGTCTCTGTTCTAGACCATATTTGATTTTCTTCAGGCTAATATTACATAAAAATATAGGTTTTTGAATTAGCAATTACTTATCACAAAAGAGATTGAGAATATTAAAATCTCAACAGAAGAGAACATTAAGTTTTTTTTTTTTTTTTTTTAATTTACTGAAAGTCGAATACTGTATTCTCCCATCTTATTTTACTTTTTTACTTTAACTTACATTTTTCTCTCTAAAATAATTTATACACAACGTAAAAAATCTTAATTTCTAGAGTTATATTTGTAATTACAGTAATGCAACTATGAAAAGAACTACCTCAAATGACACTTTTATAATAATATATGAACAATACTTTGCCAAAAACTTTTTGCAGACTGTCACTCATTCTATATTTGGCATTGTTGGAACTCAGCATCCATATACAGATTCTTTATTTACATCATTATATGATATTTCCTTTAATCTGCATAAATTAAATTAAATTATAAATTATTAAATAATCATAAATAAATAAATAAGATTCATAGCACTTCCACACAGTCTAGTTTTAAGGCTTTATTATAGTTAATCAGACTTGCTTTTTAAATACATAAATATCCTCATGTTCACTTCTGTGTTATACTTGTATAGCTGAACCTTTTTTATATGTAGCTTTAGATTAAAGAGGACCAATATGGTTGAAATGCAGTAAATGAAATAAAATTGCTACATATTATCTTAAAAAATTTATTTGGATTAGAAAAAAGTATGATTGTAATGGAAGAGTTTTTTCTCAATTAATATAATTTAAGATATTTGCTCCTCCATGAAATCAAATGTGATAATTATGTAAAAAATTGAAATGATTTGAAAAAAAGGTCACTCAGGTGAGTACGCTGCCACTGATTCAAGAGTCCTAGTAGGAAGGACTTTTTTAGTTAGAAATTTCACAAAGCATGCTCATAAGTTCAAATTTTTAAAAAATGTCTGAGAAGTGCATTTTCTCCCTTTTCTCAATAAGATTTAATCATTTTTTTCCAATTATAAAATTTGTATCAAACCTCAGATAAAGATATTTGTTTGAATATTATATTAGATTAACATTTCACTACCTGAATTTCTCTATTTGCAAATTATTCATACTGAGTTTTTATTATTTTGTTTTCTGTGTGAAATTTTGGAAATTATAGTTATGATGTTTTCTGGAAAGGCATTGAAAGCTGTTTAGGATATGATACATAAAGTTTTTAAGGAACAAAATGATATTACCTGTTTTTCAATATTATGTAACTTGTTCTCTGGAGTGATCTGGATTTATTGATGCTAGAATAATACCAGAATCATATCAAAAGTACAGCAATGCTAATTTTTCACTACTTTTAATTCTATAACATTCTCAAAATTTGTAAATTTATTTTCTCATATTTTGTTCATATTATTAAATTAATTCATTAATTTCTCACAGTATAATGATGACATATCATTTGTTAGATAAGATGATTATTGTTGACATTAGGGAAACAATGTGTAAACTGAATTTTAGCATATAAAGCAAGATACAACAAGATATATAAAAGTGACTGCATAGAATGTCTGGACGTTATCTATAGTATTAAAATTGATAAAGATTCAAAAAATATTTTCAATATATTGTTTTTTATGGTAACAGAACAAAAACGATACAAAAGATTGAAGATTTCATATTAACATGGGCGAGGGGGGCCTGGGCACCCCCCAGTGAACCTGGTGCCCCCCAGAAAATCACAGCCGAAAAAGTGTTGACCGATTTGCAAAATGAAAAAAGAAGTTGAAGCTGAAAATTCTGAATCCTAAAAAAAAAAAGGATCAACGGCTCCCTGTGTCCAATGTTATCATTATATATATTATATCATATTTTGGGTGTGTTAGGTTATTGTCGATTCTTATGGAACTTTCATTTTAATGAACAATGATTTGAAATAATTCAATTTTGTGTCAGGTTGGCCTCTACTAGGCCCCCCATAACAAAACTCTGGCTACGCCCATGACTAGGACCCCCTCCATAACAAAACTCTAGCTACGCCCATGCATATTAATATCTTATAGATCAATCTAACAGGAATTAACATTATGTGATCTGTACATGGTGTTTTATTTATGTTTTTTTTATACTTTGTTATAGTTAATATTTCATAATTACATCGTTTAATCCATTATTTTATCAGAACCAAATTTCAAAATACATAAAGTACATATAGCCTTTTACCTTTTTTTCCAACTGACTAAAATCTATATTTTATTTTTATTGTTTAAACAAAAGACATCTAATTCATTATCAGATTAAAAAGTTCTAAGTACATAAAAATAACTTCGTAATATATCAAACATGAAGAAACAAAAATACAGTAGTAGCGTGCAAAAAAAAATATTAAATGATTTATTGTTGATAGTTAAGAATTAACTAGATCCGATCTATGTGTAAAAATCCTAGTGTAGTCTAGAATTTTATTACAATAATAAATTTTCTATATCTAAAATAACTTATATACCGTTTATATGTATAATGTATGTACTCGTATATTTATAATTAGATTACATTAAATTTTTAAAGCCAATTATTTCGTTAAATATTTAAAATATATATATAGCCTATACACGTTTTTATACAAACGTAATAAATTCTCGATATAATGGACAAATAAGTCAGAAATGTATCGTACTTCATATAGGCCTGGTGGGTGTTTTATATTATATTGAGTTTATTGTTGGGTTATCATTTTATGTAGGTCTATAGCTTGCTTGTAATTTCGATATAGCCTACGTCAATAATAACTTACATCTACAGCTAAGATATGAGCAAATTTTAAACTTTTTGTGTGTAACTTTTTTTAACATTTGCATACATATACATTCTAAATGATTGTTATTTTAGTTACAGGTAGATAGTAGTGGGGATTCGGGAGCGGGTCATCTCCCCCAGCGGACGAGATCCCGAGAATCAGCCATCCGTTCGCTTCCTCAGGTGAATATGAACTATATTGTCTGTCGTTTTTAGTGAATGTATTTTTCTCATCTTAGTTATTCGCAGGTAACGATAGATCGTCCTATTTGGACGACGTCTTCCAAGTACTCTTCTGCACGCACCCTGTTCACCGGCCGGTGGTCATCGTGCCTTATAACCAACCGTGCCAAAAAAGCGGAAGAGAAGTCGGACCTCTGGAAGCGAGTGTTGTACAGTACATATCGAGGATCTACAGGGAAGTCGCGTCGACTCGGGGGAGAACAACGTGTACATATATCATCGGGAAAGCTACTCTTATGCGCAGCCAATGCCAGTTATAGTCGCATTTAACGTCGTATCCATTGGGAGGAGAATTCGAGCTCGCCTGTAAAGAGACGAGATTTCTGGACACAATGCCACTAGTCCCGATGGCGGTTGGGGGACCACTTTAGATAGTAACTGGATGCAATTTTCTTACTATTTAAAAGTACATCCGCCTATCTGCTCTGTTCTGTGTCCTGGAGCAACGGGCGGGTGGAGGGATCGAAGCGGGGACCGGGGGCGCCGGGGTCCGACCCGCGCCGGATGTTGATTTATTAGATTAATTTATTTTTTGAATATATAAATTGTTATAATAAACTGAATCTCAGAAATGAAATATATTTATTTTGATTCTCGTGGGTTCGGACCAGCCGAACCGGGCCGCTATAGCACATTCCAAGTCTGGGTGGCCCGGATATTTTTCTACTTCGTCCGTTCGCTGTGATAACACCGCGCAGGCCTTAATTATGGTTGTTGGCTCTGTATCTGTTCCTTTCTTCAATAAAATGTTTTAGCAAAGTTCTCATGTCTGAATTTAATTTTTTTCGACCAAACAATAAAATTAGCCCGACTCGTCGAAGGACCTCCAAACCGACCTTCGCGCCTTCGTTTCCGATTCTTACTCGTTTGCATTCGCTAATGGCTCTGGGAACTGTGGACGGACCGACTTTCTGTGTGGCTATAGAAAATACCTATCAACACCAAGGTTACTCGCGTCATCCTGTCCCTTCTCTCAATTACTGTTCGGCCGATAGGAGGAAAGGGATGGCGCGTCACGTGACCGGGCGCACTCCTAACTGCCATCTGCCATTCTCGCCATCGGTGTGTCGGCGTACGGCGGAATAGAAACTTCACGGTGCGTATTCGCTTTTTTTTTTTTATTATTATTATTCTGCTCGTTTCCATTCTTCTTCTCTCCCCATCTCAGTCGGACCTACAAATGAACGGTGCAAATTTATTTTAGAATCCGCTACAGAATCGGAGAGGTGTCGCGAGTGTGTGTCGGGACGGGAACAGCTTCCGAAAAACTCAGTTTATAAAATCTGACGGTGAGAAATGAAATGTTTACACACACACGCACAAGAATATCCGAACTCGATAAAGCGATATTTGCGTCATTCAGGGTGATCGGACGAAAGGGTTCGCATGGTGGCCATTATTAAGTGCCATTACATGAGTGAGAATGTCCTGTTTCACATCTACCGCCGTACGACACGTTCTTCCTCTCGCACTTGATTTATGACGCCGAGAATATCTGTTCAAGGTGGTTCGTACCTGTTGTCTCCCGGTGCACTGGCCCCATCTTCCTTATCTCTTCGTCTTCCGGTTTTACCTGATCTGTTCGTTTTTAGTTACATTTCTTATTTTCATTTCGAGAACGGTTTCACCTCGTGTTTGTGTAATGATTAGAAATGGTTGGGACGGGTTTCGCTCTCGGTTAACTTAAAACGTAGTTTTATTAATTAAAAAAACAGACAAAAAACTTTTTCAAATTATATTCGAACTCAAATTTAAACCTTGGCAATACTAAGAGTAACTGCAGAATTTTAAATGATTTTTAATTTAGCTTATTTCCTTGTTGACATTAAAATTTCTCAGATAAAAAGCGCGGGAAACTCAGTTCGGCAGCCCTCAAATTTCATAATGACCAGAACTTCCTTGTTAAGCGCGAAACTGTTACGAAGAGGCTAGTTCCCTTACTCATTTGGCTAATATTGTAAATGCCGTCATGAAAAATAAGAAGCATTCGTGCATTTATTTGTTACTCAGAAAAATCTATGGATTTCAAAAATTAGTAGAGGAAAGTAACAACTAGTAATTACACCGAAAAATACGAAGAATTCCTTTTTGTGTGATGATGAAAATGCCAAGATGAAGAGAGAAATTGTCTGTGCGGTCTTCCTTCAGGAGATTCTCAGGGATTTCCGTTGTGGACGTACTTGAAAAGAGCAGACTTCCTGCCTCTCTCGAACGACAATCGCTCTTCATTTCCTTCCTCGGATCGACCCCTCTGACGCAGCTCCTAACGGGTTTCCCTTTCTAACTTTGGATCCACTGCCGATTCGTTGGCAAACACTAAATCATTCTATAACCAGAACCAAATCTGGACCGATTTTAAATAGTGTGTCTTTTCTTGATACGAAACGGTGGGGGAAAAATAAGAGGCTGGACACTAATCTAGATCCAGCACCGGCCATCCAGCCAAGTAAGTAACAAATGTTATCAAAATATTTTCTTTATATCTTCATTAATTATTCCCTAAACAGTTTAACTTCTGCCGAACATAAATCGGCACAAGGTGTATTTATTAAAGTTTAGGTTTTAACCGGATATATTCATATGCAGTAAGACGTTTGTGATAGATTAGAAGAAGAAACTTTAGTATAAAAAGCACACTATTCTGTTCTTATCACTAAAACACTATTCACTTTGGTACAATTATCTGCCTCTTCATGTGATAGCCATTGATAAATAACCATTATAACTATCCATTTTTCTCCAATAGCACTAGATTTGTGCATCGTCTTTTACCTCGGCTAATGTCAGAATTGGGGAAACAATAGTGGCTTTAGGTTTAAAAGTCCAATTATTTTAAAATTTGTTAGAAGTTAGAGAAATTGCCATCTATATAAAAGTTTTCCTAAAGAACAAAGTTTAAAATGTTTATTTTCAGATCAGAGAGGGGTTTGGAGAAATGCCGGAACAGAAAACCGCTGACTCGAATGCCAAAATGCCCATGTTAAGCGAATCGAGCGTAATCAGATTGACGGAACCTACTAGGACGTTCGGACGAAAGGTAATGCTTCTATATCACTTTTTATATTACTTACATCGTGATTAAAAGTATTTTTTTGTTTTCTCCCAGCTGTGGAAATGGACGAAAGACAATTTGCTGCTAGTTCTCACCATTCTCGGCGTACTTTTGGGAATCCTGTTTGGTTTTTTGGCGCGATTCGCCGAATATTCCGATGACGTCATCATGTTGGTCTCCTTTCCGGGTGACATTCTCATGAGAATGCTAAAGATGTTAATCCTGCCCCTTATTATTTCTTCCATGGTTTCGGGTAAGTTACGGTATTGTGGTCTTTCGTTTGGATAATCATTTTTACTCACCGTAACGAATGCCGAATAGGTCTAGCCTCTTTGGATGCCAAATCCAGTGGGAAAATGGGATACCGGACCCTTTTATATTACATAACCACTACTATTTTGGCAGCCTTCATCGGCATTATTCTGGTTCTGGCCATTCATCCCGGTGATCCTTCCATTAAAGAAGAGGTAGGCACGGGTACTGAAGAGAAGAAAGTATCCACTCTTGATGCATTTTTAGACTTAATCAGGTACGACGGACGATGATGTTTGTTACTTTCGAGCACCATTAGTTTTTGATTGAAAAGAATTCACGGTCGTTAACTTTCGGCAGGAACATGTTCCCGGAAAACCTTTTGCAAGCCTGTTTCCAGCAAGTGGAAACCACCTACGTCAAAAGAAAACCTATGATAGTTCGAACTCATGCGGAAGATGGAACCAATATTTCTGTTTTTGCCAACGAAACTATTTTGAAAAGGAGTCTTATATATAAGGATGGAACTAACGTTTTAGGTAATATTTTTAAGATATTTCAAATCTCCAATTAATTTTAAATTTTAAAATTTAATTTGTCTAGAATTTCATATACAAAATTTCGTTTAGGATTGATTATATTCTGCATTGCGTTTGGCATCATTACCGGTCAGATGGAATACGAGGGCGAACTCATGGTCCGTTTTTTCGTTATTTTGAATGACATCATAATGCGTATTGTGGTGATCGTCATGTGGTGAGTATAAAAGTCAATTTCTAAACTGAAAGTGTTGTTCCGAAAATATTGTATACAAAGTAAAGTTATAAATATATATCTAGGAAAATAAAATAAAATAATCAATTAATTCTGTCTACAGGTATTCTCCGTTTGGTATTATGTCGCTAATCATTGGAAAGATTATGTCCATCAGCAATTTGGCTCTGACCGCGCAGCAACTTGGTATGTACATGTTAACTGTCATAACCGGTCTGATGATCCATGCGGTCATCACGTTACCCGGCATCTACTTCGCCTTTACCAGAAAAAATCCTCTAACTTTTTTCAAAGGCATGCTACAAGCTTGGATTACTGCTCTGGGAACAGCATCGAGGTAAGTTATAAATGATAAAATTAAAGCCTATTTACCTCGAATTCCAGGATTAAAAGCTAAAAATATCGGTATTTGCTATTGTGTTTATTTCAGTGCTGCCACTCTCCCCATCACTTTTCGCTGTCTAGAAGAGAATAATCATATTGATAAGAGAGTGACTAGATTTGTCTTACCGGTTGGTGCCACCGTAAACATGGATGGCACTGCTTTATACGAAGCCGTAGCTGCGTTGTTTATTGCACAAATGAACGGAATCGAACTATCGGCAGGGGAAGTAATTGCCGTCAGGTAAGTAACTTTCCGGCTCATTCGAATATTCATTTCGTTTATTGATTCCATCTCTCCACAGCCTGACTGCCACGGCTGCCAGTATCGGAGCCGCTAGCGTGCCTAGCGCGGGTTTAGTCACTATGTTGTTAGTTTTGACAGCTGTGGGTCTACCCACCCAAGATATCTCGATGATTGTGGCCGTCGACTGGTTATTGTAAGTATCTGTTAATTTGTATGGTCACTTACGACACGCATCCATCTCTGGTTCTTTCCTCAGGGACAGAATCCGGACGTCCATCAATGTTTTGGGTGATGCTTTCGGGGCTGGTATCGTCTATCATCTTTCCAAGTCAGAGTTGGACAAGATCGACGCCGAGCATGCAGCTCGACAAGAATTAGAACTGGTCGAAGCGGGTCAACTGAGAAAGATATCTGTCACTGGGCGAGCTAGTTTGAGCGAGAAGCCTACGGGCAACATGAACTTCCTGGGCAGCGGAAGCGGTGACGGAAGTGGCGAAACTCAAATTTAAGATAAAGCCATTCTGGCTCAACGCAATAAATCAGAGCCTTAGTTCGGGACTCCAACTTTTTTGATACTTTCCTCCACTTAGTTCAGATAATTGTACATAACTTTGTAATCTCGTATCACTATCGAACAGCTCGTGTACATTCTGCTTTCAGATACGCCTTCCACACATCGTTCATCCATGATCTGCTGTCCGATAGAACTCTGAAATTTTTTGTAACCTGATAGTGTTTATTAAATTATATATAATTAATTTGTCCGATTTATCCGCAAATATTATAAGAAGACGCAAATTGATGCCGACGAAATTCGGCAATTATAGTATCGATCGACCTGTTTATAACTGCATCCGCTTTTCGTGTCGCACCGACCTGATGAGGAAATACAATTACTGCCGCACACGGACGTTGACGTCAATGCCTCTGACGTCACAACGCAATGCAAAACACAATATCGCGTAAATCATTCGCTTTTGACGGATAACCTCCGATCAATTAACGTCGCGCTAATCTTTTTCTTCCGGTTTGTTATTTGTTCCTTTTGGATTTAATCAAAATTATCCGCGAGAATGTCTTATTTCTACATGAATTTATTAAATATAAGTTTGTGTACATTAATTGGATGATTATCATTCGATTCTGTTAGATGTCAGTTGTCTCTCCTCTTAAAGTTAACCCGTTTGGTTCTTTCCTCGTCTGTTTCTAACTCTTGTGAGTCGTACTCGGTTTCCGACCATACGACCGGCTCTTTATTCTTTTTCTTGCTCTTCCATTCAATCAACCAACCCTGGATCACATCTTTTTTCTCCCACTCCGAGATGGAGGATGTTTGTAAATAACGACTTATCACACAAACGAATATCTGAAAAAATATTTTGTTTAAGTAAATAACTAGTTAGAATAGATTTAAATGCGAAAAGTACATACCTCCAAAATCAGACTACTAAAGAAAAAGGATCCAACTCCAATCAAAACGACTCCACCCAAGAAGTCCATCAAAGCATCTCTGCAACCTCTTTTAAATAAAGTAAGATTGATTCGATAATCGTATTGGTAATGGGCTTTATTGCTTCGAACCAAGTTATTATGGCATTCCCCCAGATAACTTGGATCACAACAGCTAAACGGAACATTCTCTGTATAATACTGACCGTCTTTTCTAAGAATTAGAAAATTATAAGTTAACTTTTTCATTCTTCCAATCATAAATAGAAATTAACCACTCACTCGACCACGTTGGGTTCTTTGGGATCAACGAATTTTTTATCTATCCACGGCACTCGGAACCAATCTTCGTAATCTTTTACTCCACAACAGGAATAATGGATTTGAGTGTTATCCACTACAATTTTGACTTGTTGTCTGAGACGATATTGTTGGAGACTGGAGGATAGGCCAAGAGTCAGAGCTTCTTCTACCTTCGTGATGTGACCGTAAACAATCATGCTGGTTATAAATATATAAATAACCAGAAAGACACAAGAATAAACATATATCTTGAATAGCGTCATAGTCTTCGCATTGACTTCTCCTTCTTCCAGCTGACATCGCACTGATAGATATATTCCACAAAAAGATAAAACGATGATAAAGCTTCCGGCAGTATACAAAATAGAGGGCACGGTGTAGGCACTATAGTAACTTTTAAGGAAAGATGCTTGTCCTTGGAAAGAGGACTGGACGTAATAGGCTACTGACATCATACTTAAACTGACGATCAATCGAATTACGCTGGTCACTAATAAAACCAGAACTAGAGTGTGTTTTGTATCAGGCTTAAACGTAACTTGTAACAGTCTCATTTTTGAATAAATTCCTTTTTTTTTCTATTGTTAATCCAGTATTGTTACAAAACAGCATCATCTGTGCCAAACCATAATTGATTGCGTGTTAATACGAGTATTTATTTATAAATAACTTGCTTATAATAACTTGTAATCTTTTCAACTTACCTGTTATTTTATTTAGGACATATACAACTTTTTGAAAGCGGTGACAACTCGTACTGCAATATGCTCTGCTGTGATAGTACATCGTATTAGAGCAATCGCTTCTCGATAATTTCGCGCAATCTTTTTAACGTATCGCTTCGATTACGTGTCCTTACTGAGATTTTGATGAAACTCAGTCCCAGTCATTAACTTATATAACTACATCCAGAATCATTTTTAAAAATTCTGTAATAACTAAACAGGAACAGAAAGCACTTTAAATCGATTGCGATTAAGCGCGACGACACTCGCGAACCAACGCACTCCGGGCCATGTTATTTGCAAGAAAAGTTGTGCCAAGTTTTATTAATTTTGCGCCAGTTGATAAACAGTTTCTGAATTGATTCAAGTGTTCGAAAATAAAATACAGTATCGCTTGCTCGGTTAATCCCGAATAAAGACGAATTGTCCATTTCTGTGTAATGCGTATAGGTTATAGTATTAGCGTTTTATAAAATGACCGATCGAGTCACAATATATATTATAAAACTTTTATACACGATAATTAGTCATGTGAGAAAACGTTAACGATTTATACAAGCATTAGCGCCAATAAGTTGACTCGTGCCAAATTCGAATGCGGAATAAGTGAGCAGTAATGTGTTAAGTATTAAAGGTAAAATGCATTCTGGCCCCTGCCTTGTTAGAAAACTAAAAACATACGATTCGATCTTTTCGTGTTTAAAGAAATTATATTGTATGTCGAATGCTTCGAAAATTCGTAGAAAGCTGCCTTTGACCCTCTTGATTCATGGAGGTACGCGTGAAAGAAACAGAGTAATAATAATTATAACTTTCAACAAAGCTTCCAAAATTATCTTATTCCAAGTATAATATTCACAAAACAGATATCTACACCTCCTCATTTTAAAATAAGAATAAATGGTTCGTTCCACAAGACGTTAAAAGTCTTATGAAACGAACCATCTATTATTCTATAATTAATATTCTATAGTATATACCTATTCTTCTAAAGAAAATCAAATATATAGTTAGCTAAACTTTTAATAATTATATTTCCTATTTCAAATAACTATATATATTTTATTATAAAATTAAATAAATGAAAATTTCACCTCATCAATTTAGAACATAAAATTATTCATTTCGAAATTTTTAAAGTTTCAAGTTTATTCCAATAAACATTTTTTTTTAAAAATAGAAGTCTTTTTCACTTAAAATTTAAAATCATTATAAAATTCGAAATTTATATTATATTCTAAGAAAAGAAATTCAGCAATGAGTTGCATAACTTTCCCGGCTGTTAAAAAAATAACTTTTACAGTATATTTTTAATTATTATAAAATGCCAAAAGGTTTAATTTTGAAGGTAGTGACGAGTTTCATTTAAAAAAAAATTGTAAGCGCTAATAACGAATATTCATTAAGTCGGACCCATCTCGAGATATGACACCCCTTTAACCACCAAAATTTAATAGCATCAATGCCATTAAACACAGGCTACCGTGCCAAATTTCGTTTCTTCATCTTGAAATATTAGAAACGAAATATAGACGTCAATACACCAATGCACGCACGCACGGGGAAGTTTTTTGACATTTGGGGGGTTAAGGGGGTCTCAAAACGTAGAGATTTTTCAAAAATAATAAAATTTGTTGAACCAAAACTGTCGGAATTTTTCTGCCGATTATTTTTCGTGTGTTGGCGTCTATCTCGTTTAATATATCAGGATGGGGTAAAAAGGAAGCAACGAAATTTGACACGGTCGCTTGTGTTTAAGGGCATTGATACTATTAAATTTTGGTGGTTAATTAAAAGTCGAGGGGATGGAGAAATAAAGGGTGACTACGTGTCCTATCTCGCGTGGGAACGGACTTAATGAAAATTTAGTTTTTCAGACGACTCTTCTTTACTCTCAAAATTCCAAATTTCGGCATTTTGAAGTAATTAAAAATATAGAACGTTTTAATAAAATCTCCTAACAGATGACATCACACATAATTTTATTTATTTATTATGATTAATAATATAAAAGTTATTTTTAAAATAAAATCTCATAAAGTTACGCAACTCGTTGCTAGATTTTAAAAATTATTAAAAGGATGGTGGAAAATGGAGAATTGATCATTTTGAATTGATAGATTAATACCAATTATACAAATTAGCGTGTGATTTATACTCTGATTCCTTAAGGAGGAATAGAAAAAGTATAAAATCATTGCATTTCTTTTCACTAGAAATTATCGAAATTTTAGTTAATCACATTCGAATTCAAAGTGTAGGCCTATGTGCTCATACTTTTCGACACGCGTTTCCGTGAAATATCAGTTTAAATTTTTCTGTTTGTACAATATTACTTTGTTCACTGGAGTTATGCGATATGAGGTGTTATATTAAAATTAAAATTAAGTAACAAACTGATTGCTTTGGTATCAAGGAGTGATGCAACACCAAAAGCATCCCGCCTGGATACTCCTATTTTTACTGTCCTTGCAACAAACAACAAATAGTTGCTGGGGTATATTTGTACATTATTACTCTTTCCTGTTGTGAAAAGTTTACAAGATTCATATTTGTTTATCCAGTCGATCCAAGTTTCCTCCAATTTCTCTGCCCGATTCTAATTTCCGTCGATTCTTATTCATTCAAATTTCATAGTCTTTGCACGAACAAAAATTACGAAATTCGGAAAAATAAGATACTGTTTTTTCCTACAATTTCATTATTTTATATTTTAAAAATTGCATTTCAATTCAACAGTTATTCTATATTTAAATTGTCGCATTTTTATCTAAATACAAATTAAAATATTTGCAAAATAATTTATGCCACGTCTCAGAAATGCTTAATCCAGTCTTCGGATCATCACGATTTGCCTTCGTCAAACTCGCTTGTCTTCTCTCAAAGAAAATATAAATCATGGATTAACACTTCTGCCACAACGTCTCATTTACGCTGTTCGCTGATTAGGCACGTATTGTTTTGTCTTCAGTTGCTCATTAGGAAGATCAACATAGTTAACGGAAAGGAATATTTACGAAAATCGAATTCGAATTTAGATCTTTGTTAAGGATAGAATCATCTTATCTCTCGCAGCGAGACAATCGAACTATTTCAATTCAAACACAAATTTATCGTATTTATACAGACACTTGGCAAATCACAGAATTAAAATTTATTCGGTTGATACGTGTTTCCTTCGTTTATACACGTTTCGGGCATTTCTTGCCTTTCTGGAAACGTGTATAAACGAAGGAAACACGTATCAACTGAATAAATTTTAATTCTGTGATTTGCTAAGTGTCTGTATAAATACGATAAATAATTTGTGTTTGAATTGAAATAAATTACTGGCACGGTTTCAAAAGTACCAGAACAATCGAACTAGTCTTAGGGTGCGACTATGCAGACGCGAGCGAGCGAGAATATGTGGCGAGAAGAGACGAGACGCGATAAATATCAAAACCTGTCAGATATGTGCAAGATCCAGAAATTCGTTCTCTCCAGCGTTATTTCTCGCTTCTCGTTTGTGCATGGTTTTCCTTTGCGAAAACTAAATCGCTCGCAACCTCTCGCTCGCTCGCTCTAAATTCGCGTCTGCATAGTCGCACCCTTATTCCTGAACCTATGTTGGTCGTGTAAAAGTGCATATTACAGCTTTGTACTGTTTACTTTGAAACAATGTTTAGCTCATCGGAGCGCAGTAATTAGTACGATCCTAATGTGATAGAAAGAAATTCTCATCTGCGACTAAATATAAAGTGATTTATATCTTCAACTATTTCAATTCTGTTATTTCATTTACCAGCATAACTAGTTATTATTAATTATGGAATACTTGAGAGGTTTAAAAAATAAACGATTTTTAAACCTATAGGTCAGTGTTTTTCAATTCTTTTTTTATTTCATGGCACACTTGAACCTATAAATTTAATTTCCGCGGAAGAAATCACATGATTTAAAGTTGCGTTTGTAAACATTCCATCGCTGTATTACTTGCCACTTTACAAAAATATATAGACGAAAAGAATCAGGTTAAATAAACCAGTATTGTTCGTTAAAATAGCAGTAGGTTACAATAGTTATTTAATTCATAAATTTTCATTTTAAACGAAATAACTCGGTGTTATGCACATATAATTTTGCTTATGAATATATTTTTTACTACATTATGTATGTTTATTTGTTATAATAATCTAAATTGATTACACGTGTTTTTCGGAGGTTTTAATTTTGACATGTATACTTAATTGTTCTTCGGGTTTCTTTCAAAAATAGTTTAACCTTCAAAAATTTTTGCAACACACCGGTGGAAAATCATTGCTATGGGGTCTACTTTTGGCTCAATATTCCATTAATAAAAATATTTTAGTGTTATGTTTCAATAAAAAAATTATATTGTATACACATGGACATGTAAATGGGACAGGCAAGAATACTGTATATTGAAAAAAATTCAGAGGAAAAACGTGGAAAAACAGGTTTAACGAGGTCCAGTTTCTTTCCATGACAAAACTTGAATATTAAAATCATTTAAAAAATGTATTCCGAATATTTTAGAAAAATCAGAACAAATTATTATAAAACAAAACAAAAAACTATCGCCTGATATAAAAAGGAAATTATTCGATATTTCTTACTTGTCTATCATATTGGTAAGTTTTTTATTGAACAATATAAAGTAATGAGTTACTTGATTGATACAGATGCCTCATTATGCCTTAGTTGTTGATATATATGTCTTATACATTGTGCTGGGGTTATTGATCAAACGTTTTTCATAAGTAATACAATTTTCTCGTTTGTAATGTTGTCTCCGTATCTTACCGGTTTTTAAATTCATAAATTCTATTTTATCGTGAGTTCAAATGAATACGTAAAACTACAAATCTGCCTATCAGATTTCAACATAAAATTATTTATAACGACATTATTATTGTCTGGGATATGCAAAAATGACAACACAAATATGATTAGAACGCTTGCAGAATTTTTAACAAAGATTTAATTTAAAAAAGTACAAACATAAATATTACATTAATGAACAGTTTTTCTTCTGTGTACGAATTTACTGATTTATTAAACACTGGAAATTTGTACTGCTTTATTAAATTTCTATTTAGTAATTATCATTTACTTAAAGTTGCTGAAAATATTCAATAAATTATTTTTCATAAAGATTATTTCAGATAAAATGATTTGAGAGTTTGATAAATTACATCAACTACTAGTAAGTTTTGAATGTGTTACAACAATATCACAATTTTATTCTCTACATTAACGAAACAAATTATATTTTTATATGTAGTTTAAAACATTAAGGAGATCTTATTATTTTACTCCAAAATATCGAAGTATATAAAACGTCTTACGATTTTTTTATTTTAAAAAAGGCGTAACAAAAAATGGACAAAATGGCCCCATTATATCTCTGACCGAATGTTTTGTATTTATTCGATGGAGAATACAAAGGAAGCTTTGTTTCTTAACGATAAACAAGTTTTTGAATAAAACTCTATGACGATATAAAAAAGTAAGTAGATTTGCATTTGTTCCCTTTTTTAACCTTCACCACAAGCGAAACATTCAAGAGATCCAATTATTTTCGGTCATCCACGATGCCGTACTTCTTGTAGTAGCGCGAACGAATGCTCTTAGTGTTCTTCAAAGTGAAGTACATGATCACCGCCGTGGGCAGGTATTTGTACAGTATTTCTTGAAAATAACCCTGAAATATAATTAAAAATTTAGCATTCATTAAATTGGAAAACATCCCTTTTAAAAATTAAATCAATCAAAATGTAAAAATATTTAATTGATATATTTCTATAATTTTCTAAAAATTTCTTAAAAATTATTATTTACTTAAATAAGTATTTTACCTATGAAAAAAATGAATAATAAATCCAATTTAAATAAGGATTTAACAGCATGTTTTTTAATTTTTAGAACCTAAGCCCCCTCTTCGCACTAGTTCTTTGTTCTGTATAACACAGATTCGCATAACACAGCAATTTTTTGAAATGTAATTCCCGTGTTATATGGGGGTTACCTGTATATGAAATTAAAAATTTTACAAATAAAGCATGTTCTAGAAAGGCTTGCCAGACTTATATCTCTGGTGCTAATAGATAATACATCCAAAAACTTTTTAAATTTTAAATCTAA